AAAAAAAAAAAAAAAAAAAAAAAGATGACATGGAGCCAAGTGTGCACTGACATGAATTGATTTCTGTGATATATTATCAAGTGAATAAGGCAAGTGGTAGAGTAAGATGTGTGGTATAATGTCATTTGGGTTTTTACATTTGTGGAGTGTGGTATGTGTGTATGTATACCCACAGGACTACTGTGAGCTGGTATATACTAGTATGGCAGTAAAGGTGTGAAGATGCTGGAATAATTCTGTGTTGAGTTGTAAGTGTTTGTTGTCCTAAGTCTTCCAAGCATTTCTACCTGCCTTAACTGTCGTAGCTCCTTCTAGCACCATGTCTTCCCAGCCACTAAAGACATAATATTTAGCACAGCAAAATGTTCTCTAGAACTCTACTTCAGAGCTACATTCTTACAGATGAGGGTACATGCTTAACCAGTTGTTAAATATTTTTATGCTACTTTTGTCTGTCTGTATATTACTATAAATATACATATATTTGAAAATATTTACCATATTTTGGAACATGGTACTAGGTGAAAGTGGGATAAAAATATTCACTTTGAACAAAACTGTGTAGTTTGATTAATAAAAAGCCTCTGTTCCGTTTGTGATCAATAATATTTGAGGTATTAACACTTTACAATTTCAAGACTTACAGTAAAGCTACAGCATGGAATTGTTCTAAGAACAGATATATAGACTAATGGACTAGGAGGTATGTAAAAGAGACAGGACTGAAAGGAAGTTAGGAAGACCATTTTTTGGTTATTTAACTTGTAAAAGGTTGGTGAAATTGTTTTAAAATTCTAGGTCCTAAAAGAACCTCTATTGCTGGAAATGCTATACTCAAAAAGTCCAGTTCATTGGTCTGGTCTGGTGTGAGTAACATAAAACTTTCTCTGTTGTTTCATTAGGTTGGTAGAATATTCTAGGACTAGACTTGAGAGCTTAGCGGCTTTCCTGCACAGAGAGCCAGCCACATATGCAGAGATATGATAGGACTGGCAAGAAGGGTAGGCAATAGCACTTCCTTCGTTTTTAAGAGTTAGTGCTCCTGAAACTAAAACTTTGCTCCAGTTGAGTAATCTGTGTTCTCTGTTTTAGATGCAGCTGACCTGCAGAAAGCAAAGGAACATAATCAGAGACTGGATGAGGAAATTCTAGCTTTAAGAAATAGGGTTCGATCACTTGACTCAGAAAAAAAAGTGCTTGGTGAAATGGTAAGTTTAATTTACTTCTTAAAACTTATTTAAATGTGTCTACCATAACAATCAGCAGCTTGAGCAATACAGATATACAACAGTAAGTTGGTCTTTAGTGAGGACCAATATTGGTGGCTATAACATCTCAGGTGGATGCTGTGCTTTGACCTAGATGCATTCTATCAGTATTTATATTTTATGCATTTTAACTACCTATGCTAAATAGCAATATTGTTGCTATCATGGATAGGATCTTTTAAATAAGGAATTAGATAATAGTTTATAGTTAATACATTTACCACATAGAAAATATTACTCTATTAAATTTGGATAAGTTTAAGATTATTGATACTAAATCTTAATTCTTTTCATTTTGAATCATTTATTCTTAGCAATTTACTAATTTTTTAAAATACGTACTTCCAAATTTTAAATATATGTCTCTTAAATTTTAGGTTATATTCTTTAAATAATCATATCTCTAATATTTAACAAAATACTCAGCATAATACTAGGTGCTTTAGAAATTTTTTTGCAAGAATGAGTAAAGACACATCAGGATGGCTACTATCAAAACAACAGAGAATAACGAATGTTGATGAAGATGTGGAAAAATTGGAGCCTTTGTGCATTGCTGGTGAGAATCTAAAATAGTGCTGCCACCATGAAAAATAGTTACTCTAAAAGTTAAATACAGAATCAACATGTGGTCTGACAATTCTACTTCTGGATATGTACCCCAGAGAATTGAAAACAGAGACTCAAACATATATTTGTACATCCATATTCATAGCAGCATTATTCACAGTAGCCAAAAGGTAGAAGCAGCTCAGATGTTCATTGACAGAAGAACTGATAAGAGAAATGTGGTATAGCCATACAATGGAATATTATTCAGCCTTAAAAAGGAAAGAAATTCATATACATGCTGCAACATGAGTGAACATTGAAGACATTATTCTAAATGAAATAATACAACCACAAAAGGGGGAATAATATATGATTACACTTATATGACGTGCTTAGAGTAGTCAAAGTCATGGAGACAGAAAGTATTGATAGAATGGTGGTTGCCAGTGGCTGGGGAGAGGGAGTAATGGGAGTTATTGTTTAATGGGTATAGAGTTTCAGGTCAAGATGAAAAGAGTTCTGGAGATGGATGGTGGTGATGGTCGCACAACAGTGCGCTTGATAATGTGCTTAATAATATGCTTAAAGATGCTTAATGCCACTGATCTGTACACTTAAAAATGGCTAACATGGGAAATTTTGTGTTATGTATATTTTACCACAATAAAAATGCAATCATAAAAAGAATGAATGAACAAGTGAAGTTGATAAGTTGTCTAAGTCTTCATATATTTATGTATCTAATACTTTTATATATTTAACGTGTGTGTATGCATGAAAAAGTTCAGGGAGGGTACATTCCAAGCAGTGTTATTTCTGGAAAGGGAAGACTGGTTGTGATATGAAGGAAAATACCATTTTTTACTCTCTATACCTATGTGTTGAAGTTTTACAAAAAGAATGTATTTATGTATTTCTTGGATAATTAAAAAACAAAACAATAATATACCCAAACAAAAAATGAGAAGTTTACAAGATGTTTACTTTTATATTTAAGGTTGAGAGACTTAAAGGAGAGGTGTGTGAATCTCAAGAGAATAAGCAACTTGGACACCACTCCCCTGGAAAAACTACAGGTGCTGAACGGAAAGAACAGGTATTTTAAAGTTCTGTTCTTTCTGATTTCTAAATTTTGAGTTGTATTTCTTACAGAGTATACTAGAGTAATTGGTGCTAATTATTTGCTACTCCTCTTATTGGCCTGTCTTTTTCTGTTGCTCAGCTAATTAGAGTGGAAAAGGAAATTGGGCTATAGAGAGTATGTTTCTGTTCACTTCTTTCTCATAGAAAACAATTAATTTGGAGAATATAGTATATTGTTTCTTTGAAGAGAAAATAATCTTATGAAGATACAACCAATTTGAACATATCATAGAGAATGTATAAGGTGTAGGCTCCAGTGTGTGCAGTGTCTGCCATATTCAGCATGATCAGCCTCTGAAGTGGTGAGCAAAGCAATCAAACCCAAGACAGACTGTTGCAAGTGCCAGGGTGTATCTAGTAGATAGTGGTTTTAATTTGCCTTTGAGGGTGTCTAATGACCATGAATATATTTTGGCCATTTATGTATGTTCTTTTGTGAAGCATCTGTTCAAATCTTTTGTAAATTTTTAATGGAGTGGTCTGTATTCTT